CCATACAAGGTGTTGGAAAATAACTTTACTCTCATACATTCCCCCCTTTTGTTTCCCAGGGAAAAAAGTTTTTTGTCTCACAGATCAAAGTGCCCCATACCCTTTCCCCCTCATTGTCTAGGATTCACCTCACCTTCATAGACTATCTGCTGACCGTCCATCCTAAATTCTTAATACATTCACCCCCCCCATACTCTTCCCCCCAATCTGAAATCCAACTTTCGTCAACAATCTTTTTGTTACCTCATAACCTTACTTTTCCCCCATATACTTTTTATTTTATTTTTTTACATACTCAAAAAACTCCCCCCAAACCCGCAAATTTTTTCAAAATCTCCCAAAAAAACGTGTCACACAAGAGCAAAGTGACAACTCCCCCTTTGTGTTTTATTCTTTTCTTTTGCTAAAACCCCTTGCCAGCACCCAAGCATTTACTTCTTTACACCCCATCTATAAATTACTAAAAACCCGGTGGGCATCACACATCCTTGTTAAGGCCTACTTTTTCTGGGAAAAAATTCCCTTTTCCTTTTTAAACTCTAACTTTAGCCTCACATCCCCGTAAAAAAATCTTTACTCTTTTAGTAATACCTCCATACCATACACCCGGAACATTGCCAATTGCACCTTTTACCCTGTTTTATGCCTTTTCCAAAGCATAAAGGCCCCTGTAAAACTTGGTCTACACACCCCCCCACTTTCCCAAAGCCCTTGTTCATCGCATCCTGTTCTCCGTGGGAAACCTTTTAAATTTTTCAATAATAACTTACCATACACTTTACCAGGGATACTCAACAGACTTTTCCCCCATAATTTTTGCACTCTCTTTTTCCCCCTTTTCCTTTTTCAAAGGGAAATATGATGCTCTCTGCCCAAACCCAATTTACCCCCCTTTCCCAAAAATAAAAAAAACCCAAACCCCAAAATAACCCACCTGATTTTAAATATTAAAAAACCAAACACAACATTTTTTTTAAAAAACAAATAAATTTTCCCTACAAGGAAAAAAAAAAAAAATCCTCATTAAATCCCCACAACAACCCTTACCTTAAAATTAAACCTAAAATAAAAAATACCCAAAAACCCTTTTAAAAAACCCCCCCCCCCCCCCCCCCCCCCCCCAACCCCTCCCCCCCCCCTTTTGGGTTTTTTCCAAAGGAATGGGGGGAAAAATTAAAGGGATAATTTTTTTTAAAAAAAATTTTTCAAAAAAAATTTTTTAGGGGAAAATTTAAATTTGAGTTTTTTAAAAACTTTTTAATTTTTTTTATGATTAAAAAAACCCATGGATAATTAATTAAAAAAATTTTTTTTAAAAAATCTATGATTTGGTTTGGGGAATTTCGTGGGGTTAATTTTTTTTAAAAAAAACCCCTTTGTTTTTAGGTAAAAAAATGGGGGTTTTAAAATGTTGAGGGGGCCAGGGGTTTGGTTTGTTTGGGGGCCTGGTGCTGGAGTTAGATCACGGGTCTTGGAAACCCTTTGGCGGGGGCCCCGGGACCTTAAGGGGGTGGTCTTGGCCCCTTTTAAATTGGGAAGTGGGTACTTCCCCCGAAGGGGGGTTTTGGAGTTGGTTGGGGCCGGGGGTTTTTGGGGTCCCTTTTTTCTTTTAGTTTTTTTTTCCCTTTTGGGTTTTTTAATTTTTTTCCCGGGGGTTTTGGGTTATTTTTCCTTTTTAGTTCTTTTTTTTTTTTTTTTTTAAAAAAATTTTTAACCCCTTTTTCCTTTTCCCCCATTTTTTTTTTTTTTTTTTCTTTTTCCTTTCCCATTTTTTAAAATTTCCCCCCCCCCCTTTTTTTTCCCCCCCCTTTTCCCCTTTTTTTTTAACCCTTTTAAAAATTTATTTCCCGTTTTTTTATTTTTTTTTTTAAAATTTTTTTCCAGTTTTTTCTTTTTTTCCCCTTTTTTTGGTTTTCCCTTTTTTTTTTTCCCAAAAATTTTCCCTTAATTTTTTTTCCCGTTCCAACCCCTTTTCCCCACATGGTGGTCCCTTTCTACCACCCTTTTTTTCCCACCTGGGTTTTTTTTACTCACCTGTTCTGGTCCA